CCAGTGATTTTGAGCTGGCTCATCTCTTGTGAAGATGATCAAAGACTCAAGAGAGAGAAAGATAGCTTTTTCCCATCCACCCTGACACGTATCTTGGAATGGATTGGGAGGAAGAGTCTAACTGGGTTTTGAGGAATCTAGGTCCCGTTTCGCCTTAATCTACTCTGATTGTAGGTGATGATGATTTCATGTGTACATGCTTCACTCTGATTAACTATATTATGTTGTTACTGTAACCCTATTATCTTGTTACTGTAGCCCTTTCCCTTCCTTTCCTTGTCTGCACCTTGTTTTGTTTATGACCTTTACTTGTTTTGTAATGTCTGAATTTAGATTCTAAATTCTTTGGACTGCCTTGGCTTGTTTCTGCAAGGTGCCTAAAACATTTTCAGATGCTCAGACATAATAAAAGCTGAAAGGTAATATTCTTCATTAATTTTTTTTTAAAGTTTTGTGAAATGAGTGGCCAGCTCAAACTGCAAATCGTAAGTGAGACAAAGATCAGGGATGTTTGGATTAAGGGCTTTGGTTTGGTCTATTACAAGGATAAGGAGCTATTTTGTGAAATTGGGATCTGAGTCTGGATTTCAAACACTCTCAGAGTTTGACATATTATTATCTCTATTAGAAACTAAATTAACAGTATAGAGGAAAGAGGTTAACATGAAACCAACAGAAAGTAGGCTGAACTCTGATCACTTAAAATATTGCTAATATTTCTGAGTATATTTCAAGTTGAATATCAAAGTTCTCTTTATCAGACACAGCCAAGTTGTTTTCAGCTTCCAGAGGTGGGTACACTGTCAAGTTTATACTTTAATTTCCAAATTTGGAGTTGCTATTTCCAAGATGCTACATACTTGTCTGTTATAGGAATCTCCCTTCCACTTTTTCAAAATGTGGGTCAGCTAGTAATATGTAATTGAACCCATATTCCAGGATAGTGGATGCCTTAAGAATAAGTCTAACGGTAATAATATTGCCCTTCTCAATAGCAGTTTCACAATGGGGTTTCTTGCACTTTCTTCCATGTTAGCTATATGGGTGTGACCGTTCTCACGGTACCTAGGACTGCGAGTCACCTTGTTACCTCTTGCTTCTCTAGCGAGAAGTAGCTTTGCTCATGGTGGCTGAGTGTTAGCTCCTTAACACCACCAGACTGTTAGCCACTCAGACACTCTTCTCTGGCCTATCTCAGTCCCTGAGTCTCTTTAAAGCATTCTTCAGTGATATCCAGCCCCTAATACTGGCTGCTCACAGAAATCCCAGATCCCTTGCCCCAAAGGAGCAGTGTACCTCAGTTTAGTAGTTTTACCTTAAATCTCTGCTCCTGTAAAATCACCCAGCAATTGTGAACATTACAATAAAAGGTTTATTTAAGAAAGATTCCACAAGAAAAAAGAGAGTGGTGGGAACAAATGGTTACAATACAAAACAAAATCCTAAAATGTGTACTAGAGCCTGTATTTTATTAATAGTTACCTTTCCTATCTAATAGAGTAGTTTTTTCCCAAAGGTCTGTCTGCCTTCACAGGAACCAGCATCCAAACTTTCATGAAAAACACCTCCACTCCACAAGATGTTTCCTCAGTGAATAGATGCAGAATGCCTCTTCCCACTCAGTGTTATACGGAAACCATCTATTATTTCTATTAATAGACAGGACAATCCCCTGTCCCTCATTGTTGTTGCTTTTTACCTCCTAATGGCTTTGATTGGTTGCAGTTGCAGTGGTTTTCCACTGATAGTCTTAGGATGGAGCAACACTGAACAATTGAGCCTTGCAGAGTGACAACTCCCTTCTGTTTGAATGGGCCATCACCAAGACATATTGGGTATGTCTACACAGCAACTAGACATCCACAGCTGAACCAGGCTTGCAGGGCTTGGGCTGCAGGGCTGTTTCATGGCTGTGTAGACTTCCAGGCTCGGGCTGAAGCCCAGGCTCTAGGACAGGGGTTCTCACAACAAAATGTTTGGTGGCCTCAGAGTGCGGACACCAACTCTTGCTGGTGGCTGCTCTTACAAATTTTCCTAAAATACTTAATTAACTTTAGGAAAAGCAAATAAATATGCACAAATGCATGTCCAAATCATTGTAATTTTTGTTTTTTGCAGACTCAATAATAAAAATAGTGTAAGGTTGTATTTTGGTGCCTCGGCCCCTGCTGCCTCGCCCGGCCTCCCACAGATCCCCCTGACCCCCCGCTGCCTCCCCCGCCCCCTGGGCCCCACTGCTTCCCCCCCCCCCATTGCCCTAAGCTCCCTGCTGCGGCCTCGCACCCCAGCTCACCCCACTCCTTGCCTCTTGACAACAGCGCCCGGTAAGGAGAGCTCTGATGAATCCCCGAGCCAGAGACCCACGGCTCTGGGGGGCAGGCTGAAGCCCGAAGCCCTGCCACCCCAGGGGGCTGAAGCCCAGAGCCCCACAGCTGAAGCTAGGGGAGGAGGGCTGGAGCACGAGCCCACCAACAGAGCCCCAAGGCTGAAATGGGGGGCTGAAGCCCATCCCCGGAGCCTCTGGCTGAGCCAGGGGAGGAAGACTGAGGCCCACCCCCTGAACTCTGTGGCTGAAGATGGGCGGGGGTGGGGCTGAAGCCCACCCTTGGAGCTTCTGGGCGCTGCAGGGAGGGGCCTCTGCTTTGGCCCCTCCTCCATCTCTGCCAGGAGACTGTCATAGCTGCAGGGAAAAAAACCTTGTGGCTGCATTTGAGAAATGCTGTTCTAGGACTATGCAGGGTGGAAGAGTCCCAGAGCTCAGGCTCCAGCCTGAGCCCCGAAGTGTATACAGCAACAAATAGCACCGCAGCCTGAACCTGAGTCAGCTGGCATGGCCCAGCCATGGGTTTTTCTTTGCTGTGTAGACATACCCAGAATCCCCCGGTGACTAACTTTTACTCCAAGATCAAAAATATACTTTCAGTATAGTTATATTCTTCCTTAAATATTACCCATACGTACACCTCATAGTGATTGAGTCGTGATAGTTCTGAGCTTTCTGTGGATTCCTTTCATATTACTTCCTATAGATAAATAGCCTGCAAGACATATTTGGTGTAGTGAGATTGTTAGGTCTGAGACATTTGTAATGAGTTTGTGCAGAACAAGGGACCCTTTGACCAAGAGCCCTCTGTGTCACAATAGGCCACTGATCTGATCTAGAATGGCAATGCCTTGTTACAGCCTTGTGAACAATATTTATTCCCAATCCTATCTGTAGCTACGAAGGAAATTCCAGTGTTGGGTCTGAAATGCACGTTCAAGTTTTCCTAGAACCAAACCCCTCCTATTGTGTATTTTGGATGTTTTTCAAACCACGAACCATGCAGCCAATAGATCTGTTCTAGTACACACCCAGGGAAGCAACAAAAATGAAAAGAGAAGCACCCATAACTTTAAAAAACCAATCTGGGCCCAAATCTCTCTGTCTCTCTTCTGCTTTAATAAAACACTCCACAAGAGTAATATTACACAAGGATTTCACCTTTCTATCTCTTGGAAGGAGTTCTATACATAAATTAACTACTGTATGCATTTTTACAGATAGTATTAACATGGTCAAAAACACTTATGGTCCTTGCTCCAATGAACACTGAAACGTCTCTTAAAGGCTCAATTGGCTGGATTTATAATGCTGGGAAGGAATATTAATATTTTACTCTACTAATATGGTTTTCTTTTTAAATGCTCTGATTTTCAGTGTTTGAGTTATATTGCTGACCATGCAGGAAGTTTAAGTAAGTATCAACACTGTATTTCAAAACAGCTATCCTATTTTATGGTGCATTTATGGTGCGTATTTGTTTTGTTTTTACTTTAAAAATATTTAGCCACTGGCATAAATGGGGGTAATTCTGTTGAAGCCAACTTGTGCCTGCTTATGCCAATGGTAAACTTGGCCCATTTTTTTATATTTATTTACTTTTTTAACTGGCTAGATTGTTTTTAACAATAGTGGATTGATGTATCATGGGGATATTTAGCAAAGCTATGGCCACATTCTCCTTTACAATGTCGCCATTATACCCCTGATGTTAATGTAATTTACACCCACTTTAATTCCCCTTTACACAGCCAGAATAGTGTGAAGGGGTTTTAGTGGAAATGAGAATCAAGCCCTATGTTTTGCATACTTATATTATCCTTCACATATGCCTTCAGGGAATAAAGAAACACAATTCATAGTTGAAAAACATAGCTGTGAAGAAGTTTGACAACAGGTATTGAATTAAAGGGTCAGAGGAAGTATGATCTTTTGGCTAACTCACAGGTTTAGGAATCAGGAATGAAACTCTACCTCTGCTGAAGTCAGTAGCAAAACATCCATTGACTTCAGTAGAGTCAGGATTTCACCCCCTGGTGATTTACTTTTGAAGCAGTCAGGAATAGAATTTAGCCTCTGGTTTGAGACTTTTAGATACCTCTGACCTAATTCTCAGAGTTTCCATGAGCACCCTCAGCTCTGTGTAGCCAATGGGAACCTTTCAATGGCAATTAGATCAGGCCCTCAGAGCCGGGGATGCTCCAGAGTTTCACATAACAGGGCTTTTTGGAAATTCAGAGTTTAGCTTTACGCTGACAGATATCAAGCTTTGCTGAACCATTTGTTCTTTCTCCCCTTCTCTGTTCAAACAAAGTCAGCAGCCACATGAGTTCTGTTCAGATTTTGCACTCGTTGCACTCCCACATGAGCATTTGCAGTATGTTTCAGCCAGACAGAGACACTGTATTGGCTCTTTGAAGTTATACATTCTAGAAAATAAACTAGTGTCAGAATTTAGTATGAAACCCTGCTGGGTAATCTTTCATTTTGAAGGACTAATTATGTTGCTTTCAATTTACAATTATTTAGCTCACATATTGTTATACACATACAGGTTAATCATAGAGTGTGGGGGAGGGAACTGCAGTCATTTAATGAATCCTATCTACTTTACAGCAGTACTCCCATTTTAGAATCCAAGATCATATCTCCTAAGGTCCTAGTACATCAAACCTACCTGTGATTGTTCTGAATCTGATGAAGCAGAGTATTCGTGCATTGCAGAAAGGAGTCAGCCAGAGACTCCAGCCAGTAGGAACAGATGCATCCAAAGCAGGGACTGCTGCATTGGGGGGGGGGAGGGTGTAACAAGGCTCAGCTGGAGCTATCCCTCCCTCCAACTCCTCCTGGATCCAGAGATGTACAGGGGAGACTTTACCCACAAACTTTGGGGGCACTAAAACCCAGGTGCTGCCTTCCTTTGTCCCCTCACCTTGTGGCCTGGGAGGAAAACTGCACAGAGGAACCAGTTAGAGACTCCAGCCCTATGAACAGAAGCAGCCAAAGCAGGGACTGCTGCAGCTAGAGGGAAGAAGCTAAAATGAGGCCCAGCCAGTGGCAGAGTAAGGTTTTGCAACCAGGGAAACAATGGGTCATTGATGGTGCCTCGCTATTCAATAGGTGCTGTAGTGGTTCCCAACCAGGGGTCTCGGGCCCCCTACGGGGCTGCAATCAGGTTTCGGGGGTCTGCCAAGCAGGGCCAGGATCAGACTCACTGATAGGGTGACCAGATGTCCCGTTTTTAAAGGGACAGTCCCATTTTTGGGGACTTTTTCTTATATTGGTGCCTATTACCCCCTACCCCAGTCCCATTTTTTCACAGTTGCTATCTGGTCACCCTACTCACTGGGGCCCAGGGCAGAAAGCCGAAGCCCCACCACATGAGGCTGGAGCCCAGATCCCTGAGCCCTGCCACTCGGGGCTGAAGCCTGAGCAACTTAGCTTCACTGGGGGCCCTGTGGTGTGAGGCCCCAGGCAATTGCCCTGCTTGATATCCCCTAATGCTAGCCCTGGGTTTTATATGCAGAAAATGTATATAACACAGGTGGTCCGTGGAGTTTTTATAGCACGTTGTGGGGGCCTCAGAGAGAAAAAGGTTGAGAACCCCTGCTGTAGATTACACTGCCACCTCCTTGCCCTGCTGAGGGGATACTGACTACCTGCAGCAGCACCCTCCATTCTGGCACCGCAACCCTAATCCCAGCCTGGTGCAGAGGAGAGCATGGGGTGCGGGGGACTGGAGGGCATGTTTACCCAGCACTTCCCTGGAAACTGCAGCTCCTGTCCTGCAGGACTGGGCCAGACACCCAACTCCAGGTGTTGCGACCTGGCACATGGGATCACAGCACCATTCATATTTGGCCCAGCCACCCCTCTTTTATGAGAGAGGGGCAGCCAGGCCACATTTCAGGGAATGGCATTGGGACCTGGCACATGGGGTCACAGCACCTAGCCCCACCTGTGACTGATTAGCAGCATTCCATTTGAGCGGTAGGGCCTGATGAAGAGTCCCTGGCTGTTATAAAGGCCAGCAAGAGCTCAGTTAAATTGAATGTTGTCTCCAAATAGGGCCAGGGAGGGAAAAATGGAAAGGCTCTGACAGACATTCCCTGTGTTAGCTTTGGGGGGGAAGCTGGACTGAGACTGAGTCCAGAAAGAGCAGCCCTGTGAGTCAGCACGCTCTAAAGGAGTGGGAGACACTGAGCATGGCCCAGGAGAGGGGTGGAAGACTCTTTTGAAGAAGAAGACAGCCTCTCAGGTGAGGGCAGAAAACTCTTGTGGGTTTGGAGTCCATTTGAACTTTGATACCCTAGAAGGGGTGGGCTTTTCTCTTCTGACAACCAGAGGGCTAAGTCACTGCAGCAACCAAACTGTGCACGAAGGCTGGAATATCTAACCAATGTGAGGGGAAACTGAGGCAGCAGCGGGTCTGAAGGCAATCTGGGTAAGTGGTGCTGCTACACTAATTATCTATGATTACATTGGTGCTATGAAATATATTTTGTAAAAGTGATGAAACTTTAGTGATGTGAGAACTTGTTGGAGTCTCTTTCCTGCGAAGTGGGTAGAGACTGCCATTTCATGTGTGTGAATTTTTGTTATGTTGTCCATTCTCTGACTGACTTTTGGGCATGTCCGTTACCAAATAGCATATGGAAGGGGAACCCCAGCAGAGGGCAGTACTTGAAGGTCTGACGCTGTGACATAATTCCAGAATTACAGTCACCTGGAGACTCTTATTAGAAAATGTCGTTCTGTGCCCGTCGTTCAACACACTAACAGCCTGCAACAACGGTGGTACAAAAAATGGTGCATTGCTGTAACATTCTTTTGTAAGATATAGTTGCTTTCTACTCTGGCTCTGATGCCAGCCAATTGTGTATTTGGAAATAGTCACTGAAGGATTTGCTATTTCTGTTTTCAACTTGCCTTTCTTTTCTGTAACTATGGTAAATGAGCAATTGAGTTCAATGGGAGTTGAGTGTACTGAGCACGAATCAGGGGACACTAAAATGCTTGCAAGATTGAGCTCTACTGTCTGGAAGCTAAGGGCTCTCTTGATGGCTTTCTTTTTTTAATTTGCTGTTTATTCTGCTCAACAAGGTGAAGGAAAGGGATGGACAGTGTATTGTGTAAAATAAGTCAGAGTCTTCACTCAAAATAGAAGTTCTGGAGCAGGCTCTTCTTGGGAAAGCAATTGGGGAGATCAGGAGTTATGTTGTCTTCGGTCTCCTTTATGCAGTCCAGTAAACAATGCATGAAATTAAGATAGCATTTTATCTATACTATGTTGTGTTTCCCTTTTTTCCATAGACAAGCTAACAACTGTTTCAGGAAGATCTCATGATCTCTTATTAAAGGGGCTGGTCAGATATCAGCCGTGCAGCTGAATATCTCAAGTAACACTGAAAGAAGCAATCATAGTGCATTTATGAATGTTTGTTAGAGAGCTAGGTTGGTGTTGAGTAGGGTTACCATATTTCTGCAAGCAAAAAAGAGGATGGGAGGAGCCCCGCCCCCGTCCTGCCCTAGTCCCGCCCCTGCCCCTCCCACTTCCCGCCCCCCTCAGAACTCCAACCCCCCCCTCGCTCCTTGTCCCCTGACTGCCCCCTCCTGGGACCCCTGCTCCTAACTGCCCTCCAGAACCCCACCGCCTACCTAAGCCTCCCTGTTCCTTGTCCCCTAACTGGCCCCTCCTGAGACCCCCCCCACCCTAACTGCCCCCCCGGACCCTACCCCCTACCTGTACCCTGACTGCCCAGAACATTATCCACACCCCCCTCAGAAAGCCCCCCAAAACTCCCGACCCCCCCCCGCTCCCTGTCTCTTGATTGCCCCCTCCAGAACCTCCCTGCCCCTTCTCCGATCCCCTGGCCCCCTTACCCTGCCGCTCAGACCAGTGTGCCAGGGAGGAGGAGCAGGGGGAGGAGCTCCAGACTGCCGGTGCGAATGGCCGGCTGGTGATCTGCAAATGCAGGGAGGGAGGGAGGGAGGGAGTGCTCTCAGCTGCAGGGGAGAGGAGGGGGAAGTGGAGGAGGGGCTCTCTCTGGCTGTCGGAGCCCCATGTAAATGGCACCATCCGGCGGGCTGCCCTGTTAGCTGCGCGCGCTCTGCATGGGGGGGGAAAGTCCGGACATTTACAAATCCCCCCGGACGCTATTTTTAACTCTAAAAGCCAGACATGTCTGGGGGAATCCGGACGAATGGTAACCCTAGTGTTGAGAGTACTCAGGAGCTGGCCCTAAATATTCAGCTTTGAAACAAAAGTGAAGGGCTCTTGCATTTCTTCTTCATAGTGATGACCAAGTCTCAGCAAAACTCAGTACAAAATCTATGTATGCTGTAGAAATAGAAGTAACCCAAAAGCTCCTGCAGCTGTTGTGTACCACACTATTGCCCATTTTTGTTCTGTGAGTGTCTCTGGACAAGAAATGCTTCGAAACAAGCAGAGAGCAGAAATTATGTAAACAAGGGAAAGGAAGTACAGCTAAACCTATTTCTGCATCAAATTCCTGCATTACAACAGTGCTTCTTTTTTATTTCCAATCCCGATTTCCCAGACCGTTTCATATAGACTCTAAGTACACTTAACTATTTTCTGTGTAAAAGTTCCACTGCCCTGAGAAGTCGCCAAACAGCAGCATGTGCCAAGCAAGTTGAAATTGTTAAAGCAGAAGCAATCTCAGATATTGGCATGGGAATTGAGGGCACAAATAGAAACCATAGTGAATAGAGAGAGAGCCTCTTTATTCACATCTGAATCCTAATTGCTGTGCGAAACGCTAAGGGGAAAGGGCTGCTCACAGGTACTATAGGTTTTTTTCTCTATGCCTCCCTCCCCCCATTCCTATTCTGTTCCATTAAAATCATAGAATCATAGAAGATTAGGGTTGGAAGAGACCTCAGGAGGTCATCTAATCCAACCTCTGCTCAAAGCAGGACCAACCCCAACAAATTCATCCCAATCAGGGCTTTGTCAAGCTGGACCTTAAAAACCTCTAAGGATGGAGATTCCACCACCTCCGTAGGGAACCCATTCCAGTGCTTCACCACCCTCCTAGTGAAATAGTGTTTTCTAATATCCAACCTGGACCCCCCCCCCACTGCAAATCCTCCCTCACTCTTCTCTTCTGCAGACTAAATAAGCCCAGTTCCCTCAGCCTCTCCTCATAAGTAACCCCCCCAAAAAGAAGTCAGCTTTTCAAATGGCTAGTAAACCAAAGAATTGACTGCCTCTTGTCTTTTTGCAGAATAGATTTTTTATTTAAGAGTGTTTACTTGGAAAAATCTCATTCTGCATGAATGATTAAAGGGCCCTGGCTCTCACATGGGCTAAGGTCTCTATGTTCTAGTAGGTTTTGTTCATCTCTAACTTCTACCATCTGAGAGTGGGTAACATATTAAATACATTCATAAGGTGATGTCTTCATATTTGAAGGATTTATATATTTGGACCTTACTGTCCACTCAAATTACTCATGCAATAAAACCATAATATGATTTGGTGCATTTTTATCTGTATTATTTCCCAAAGTCTGTCTGTCTCTTGTATGTGTTGCAGAAGAAAGGTACTATCAGTTCTGCACTTCTTTTCATGGCCATAGATTTATTGCAAAACTGGTAACCAGTAGATGCACAATAAGGTCTTGCTGTCTTGTTTTTTGTTTTTTTAATAATTAAGTAAATTGGTGTTTTGTGACCTCGAAAAAAGGTCCTGCTTCATGTCAATAAATAGGACTGTGGTATGTAAATTAAGAGGTGGGCCCAACCACAAAGTGGAGCCA